TTTTTCACACACCTCTATCCATTGGAACCTTCTCTCTCCTTTTAGATCCTTGAAGAACAGGAGGCATTTATCGATAGCTTTTGATATAAAGTGACTAGGTGCAGCCACGCGACTAATTAAGCTATGGACCTCCTTTGGCTTCTAGAGGGATCTCATCTCGATCAAGGCTCTAATTTTCTTGGGGTTAGCTTTTATTTCTCTCTAGTTGACCATGTATCCTAAGAACTTTTCAGATACAAGACCGAATGCACATTTAAGAGGATAAAGCCTCATCCTATATCTTCAAAAAAATTGAAAGGTCTCGTTTAGGTGTGCCACATGTTCATTTACCTTCAAACTTTTGACAAGCATGTCATCCATGTAGACATCCATCGTCTTACTAATGAGGTTGGCAAATATCTTGTTAACAAGCCTTTGATTGGTAGCTCTGACATTTTTCAAGCCAAAGGGCATCATCTTATAGTAGTATAGACCTCTATTTGTGATAAAAGAGGTCTCTCCTCATCAGCCGGGAACATGGGAATTTGATTGTAGCCTAAGTAGGCATCCATGAAGCTCAACTAATATTCGATGGTGGAGTCTACCAATTGATCAATTCTAGGAAATGGAAAACTATCCTTGGGGCAGGCCTTATTAAGATTGCTAAAATCAATACATACTCTCCATTTTCTATTGTGCTTCTCCACTAGCACCAGATTGGAGACTTACTTCGGGTAGATAGCATCCCTGATAAAGCCATTCTCGATCAAATTCTGTACTTCTTCCTTTAGGGCCTCATATCTTTTCGGGTCAAGGCTTTTCTTTTTTGCTTAAATAGGGCAACCTTAGGATCAATTTTTAGGTGGTGGCACCTGACTTTGGGGTCAATGCCTACCATGTTCTCATGCCTCCACGCAAAGACATCAAGGTTTCTACTTAGGAAGTCCTTGAGTTTCTCTTTTAGATCTGTCGAGAGGCCCTTACCCACCTTCAACATTTTGGTGAGATCCAGGAAGTCCACTGGAAAACTTTTCAATTCCTCAATCGGGATTGTCTGGGGATCATGTTCAGCCACGCAAGGATAATTTTATCAAGTATAAATACTTCATTGCGTTCGGGAAGAGCGTCAATCATCTCAACATCTTCGTGCTCAGGCGTACCTTACCTGGGACATCCATGTCAACTATAAAAACATTGACATCCCGAGGTTCAGCCTTCCTTATAGAACTTATGTAAAACTCTCGTGCCTCTCTCTTGCTACCTCTCACGGTTCCCATCCAATCTCGATTGGAAATTTTATGCATAACTAGTGGATGGAGATGGTGGCTCCCAAATCTTTTAGGGTGGGTCTTCCCAACACCCATGATAAGTCGACCAGCTATCGACGATCAAAAAATCTATAAAGAGCAATGTGGTTTGAGGTGATTCTCACATTTTCACCGCAAGTGTGATCCTCCTCCTCGAGGTAATGCTATCACCGGTGAATCCATATAGGAAAGTGGCGGTAAGAGTTAGCTCGCGATCCAAAATCATTTTATCGAAGGTAGATCTAAAAGAATGTTCAAGGAACTACCATTATCAACTAACAATCGTTTGAGCTCGTTTCGGGCCACCACAGCCTTACCACAAAAGCATCACAATGAGGAAAATGGACTCCTTCCTCATCTTCCTGAGTAAAGATGACAGGTGATGCTTGATTTGTTCTGGAGTTGCTATCAACTACGTAACTTGTCAGTGGGAGATGCTTAGCCTCTCAAGCATAATTTCTTTGTGCATTTCGCGTGTCGCCGCCTACAAAGGGTTCTCAAAATATGATGTCCATCTCGTGAATGAGAGCCTCTTTTGGTTGAATTTGATAACCTTCACATTATTTCTGCCCATCGGGGAGCCTATTGTTTTACTCACTCCTCCGACAAGAAGATATATCCCTCTGGCGAAGAACGACCTCGTCTCTTCTAGGCTATTGATCGTGCCTAGATGGGACTTGGGGTAAGTCGTTCCTTTGGTCGTCTCAGGGACTTGCCCGTCTAGGGTGTCAGGCAATATCTCGACAATCTACTGAATCATAAGTGTATAAGCGATGGTATGTACAATATTCGAGGGGGTTCGAATTTGGCCTAAACTTGGGCCTATTCGTCCTAATCGTGTAACTTCAAAAATCCGTGATATGTACCAGGTTTTATATGTGTATATACGAAGCAGTGAACTAACCAAAATAAGAGAGCATAAACTTATCAGATATCTCAATATTTTTATTTCATTTTTCGTTTGATCTTGTTAAGTTTCCTATTGGTTTTGTTAAAAACCATAAGCTTGCTCAATAAAATAACAATCGAATTGGCTGGTTCACCTACAAAATCAGGGCGTTAAACCTCCAAATCCAACCAGGTTTATCGTTTGATCACCAAGACTTAACCTTTTGATTCTGATCTTTTCCTTCTCCCCAGTACGATAGGAATAAGAATAAGTAGAAGGGAAGGCAAATACTTTAAAATGGAATGTTTAACTGTAGAAGAATAAACGCGGTGCAAGAAACATAATTCATGACATGCATGCTAAATTAGCCACATTTTGAAGAATCAAATTTCCCAAAATCCTGCTTGAGAGTTTTCTTGACCGATTTTGGATAGCATCGCTTATGAAGGGTTGGAAAAATCGGTGTTTGCTAGTTTGTTTGTGCACCAATTTTTGGATGGTTTAAAATCACCCAAAATCAATGTAGCGTAATTTTAGTATGTTCTCTCAACCTACTAAATCAACTGGTTTTGGCCATTTCTCATGTTCTTTTTCTAATTTTACCGTTTGTAAATAATTATTTTCAATGAACAAATTATATTAATTAAAAAATCATTTCTAAGTAAAATATTATTTATAAGATAAGAAAAATTACATTATAATTAAAAATTACTTATAGGTAAAAAAAATTATGTAAAAAAATAAAAATAAAAATATTACTGATAAAATAAAAAGGGTAATTAGTACAAAACATTCATATCTTTCAATATTATTGTACAAAAAGTTCGTACTTTTCATTTTTTTTAGCATTTTCACCCATATTATCATAATTCACTATGAAAATCATCGTTTTCATCCATTTTCTCAGTTAAAAGCTGTGAAATGACAAATATGCACTCTTACTTAAATAGAACAAAAAGAAAAGAAAAAAAATAATTACAATCATAGTCTCAAAGTTTCAAAACAATTACAAATGAGTCACAAATATATAATTAAAAATCAAAATTGAAAAACCACCAAATTTCGGCAAACCACCTCATTTTGAATCCTAAAAACTCTGACCAATCACCACCCATACCGTTGAAACTCTATACCATTGGGTAGCCCTTACCCCCTCTCTATACATACTACCTAGCCACCAGCCCTAAAGCCACCAGATTTGGCCGAAATTGATAGCCCAAAATCAGCAAATTGTCAACATAAAAATGGATTGCACCACATTCTTTGACGAGACCCATGCCCTTTCCATCACATCAATTGATTATACTCATCAGAGTACACCTATTCATGGTCTTGCAACATAAAAAAAAAAAAAAAAAAAAAAAAAACCAAAAAAAAAAAAAAAAAAAAAAAAAAAAAAAAAAAAAAAAAAAAAAAAAAAAAAAAAAAAAAAAAAAAAAAAAAAAAAAATTCAACACAATCAAAATTTATTGCCCCAATTATCAAATCAAGTGAAAATGCAACTTTTAGTCACGATTTTCAATGCTGATGGTAGGACCCATGATCACAGACCACCCATTCCGACATCACCTGATCAAAACGAATTAATTTCACCTATGTGTCTTCGTAAATTTGGCCTCCAAATTACAAATCGAAAAAGGAAAGTACATGCTTGTGATGAAGATTTTGGCCATCAATTCCAACCAAATCTAGTAGCGTTAAGGCTGGTGGGTAGGTGGTATGTGTAGAGGGCAGTAATGGTAGTCCAAAGGTATGGAGGTTCGACGGTTTGGGTATTGGTTGGACGGAGTTTTTGATTTTTATTTTTTTTTATTTTTGATTTTTAATTATATATTTGTAACTCATTTGTAATTTTTTGAAAATTTGGGAATGATTACAATTAGTTTTTTTCTTTTCTTTTATTTAAAAATGATGTTAAATTCATCATTTCACAACTTTTAATTGAGAAAATGGATACAAATGATGATTTCGATAATGAAAGATCGAAATAAGTGTGAAATGCAAAATAATAATAATGATGATGATAATGATGATGATGATGATAAATGGAAAGTATGCACGTTTTATACAATAATATTGAAATGTGTGAACGTTTTGTGCAATTAGCCAAGATTAAAATTCAATTATAAAATATTAAAAGTTACTTATACGTAAAAAATTCAATTAAAATTATGAACTCAAAATTATAAAATTAACTTATAATAGTAAAATTTACTCATAAATTAAAATTTTTAACTCGAAATTTTAAGCAAATACTAGTACAGGTGAGATTATTTTTAAGGTAATGTTAATGTGTTAAATACTCGTAAATTACATTCTCCACTCAATATTTGCTATGGCTATACTTGGATAGACTTTTCCTTATTGAGCATATAGAAAGACTTACTAAACCCTTGTTTGAGCCACATTATTTTTAAAAAAATGCATTTTTAAATAGTGTATTGATGAAAAATGTGTGGTTAAAAAATAAAGAAAATTTTTAGATTTGCGTGTCATATTATTTTATCGAACAATGTGTGATTGAAATGATGTCAAGTAACTATTTAAAAATGTATTTTTCTGAAAAATGTGGGGTCAAACAATGCATAAGTTATATCATTACAGACTAAACAAGCAAAACGTTTCTAACAAATAAGCCTTATTAGAAGCCAAAATTCGGCCTCCCTTAACCTTAGTGGATCCAATAGAAAGTGTAATATTTGATGATTGAAAGTTGTCGTTCTTTTCCACAAATATTCAAAACCCTATCATAACTTTTCCTGGTATTATGGTATCAAAACTAGTATATACGTTCCAAATTTTTGTTCTTTTCAAAAACAAGTCAGTTTAACATGTTGCTATTAAAGATATTGAAATAACTCTGAAATTTGATGGTTCTGATATTACATAGAACGGGCAATAGTAGACCTATAGAAGAGAATCTAAAATTACCACATGATCCACGGTACATCCAATGACTTCAGCTCACTCACATTTGAATCTACCACTTTTATTATATTGATTGGATATTTGATGTCTTGAACACTTGGTTTTTTTCCTCTTAATCATTTGTAATCTCCAAAACTTTGTTGTAGCTCCTCTTTTTCGAAGCGACTCCTAACATATCAACCCAAATACTGGAGGACCAACCATAGCTATAAAGCAGTTTAATAAATAAATAGATAGATAGAACTCCCAAACTGAAGAAAACAATGTTGCAGCAATATGCTTCAGACCTGGGCAAAAAATCGAAGTACTTTCTACAGCGACATAAACATCTCCTGCAATAATGCCACAGTAATTTGAAGTCCATCTTTTGCATTAAGCAATTTCTCATATTGTAGGGAAAGAGCATAAGTTGGCCATGTGCTATACTTGACCTTTCTCATTTTGAATTCAAGTGCTTGATACCTGTAATCATCTTCCCAGCACTTAAATTGAGTTCTAAAAACGGATTATAACCATCTTGAAGATGAAGACCAAAAGGAAAGATTCAATTTTCTGGTGAATTACTATAAATAAATGACCAATTGTTGTGGCCATTATAGCATGTCTATTGCCCATGGCTAGGGTGCCAATTTGAATTGATCTTGTAAAAGAATTTCATACTATTGGATTAAGACATTACCATTTCCATTCCCTGATGAATATTTTCATTTAAAGGGAAAAGCTTAGTACGACCATTGCTACTGGTGAATTCGAAACTCTAGTAAAAGTATTCTTATTGTTACATGTCTTTCTTTCCTTTGGATAGTTACAATGTCAGAGTGTTGCCCTGCATTCAGGGGAGAGCGATTTAGAATTATTGGAGCCCATTGAGCTTTCTGAATTAATATAAGGGATTCCATTCTACTTCAAAATTCTTTGCAAACTTCGTAAGTGATCAAAACAACTACATGCGTTCTCATGCTTGACTATTTCAAAAGCTAAGGAATAAGTATCCAAATGAATTTACAAACTTAAATAGAAGTTGACATACCTTCAAGTTTAAAAACTTCAAGGATGACTTTGCGAGCGGGGGAGGTATCGTCAGAGACCACACAGGAAAATGCATAAGGGCATTCTCAACATTGTATGAACAATGTAAGATACTAGAAGGCTATTCTTGATGGGATACTATTGGCTAGGGGCCTTAGATTTTTAGACATTTGGGTTGAGGCAGATTCCAGTGCAGCCATTTATTGCATCACAAAAGATGAAGGAGGCATACTCAGAAAGATTGCAGACATCATCTCCTTCGATAGAGACAGAGTTACCCATATCTGTAGAGAGGAAAACCAAGTTGCAGACGCTCTTGCCGCAATAGGTTGGGAGCACCGGCGATATCAAATGTATGGATCATCTGACCTACCACGTCATATTCGAGCACTCGCACAAATTGATAGACATGGACTGCCCAATGTTAGAATGTGAATGGTAATTCTATTTTAATTTTTAGTTTTAGTTGTTTTTACTTTTTGTCTTTAATTGCATCAAATCTTATTGTAAGGGAAGTAGTACTTCATTTTTTACCGCTTAACACATTTTCTTTAGCATTTTCAATTATTGTAAGGGAAGTAGTCTTTCTCATTTATTGCTTTCATTTTTCCATATGCAACCACGGTATTCTTCCGTCACAAGTGAGGGCAAATTAATAAAATCTTGGAGGTACCGCCCTCCTTTAACTTTAAAAAAAAAAAAAATATTTAAAAGCTCGTGTACAATGACAGCAAAAGGAATTGCGGCTTCCTGGTTCATGTTTGTACACCTACATGGTAAGACGTGCAATGAACATAACTAAATACTGTCACAAATATGATTCAATCTAGGAAATAGACAAACAAAAAGAATATACTTTGAAGTGTAATTTAAATATTACATTAATTACCTTGTCGTAATGCTGGAATTCACCAATTCTTGAAAATCTGCAGGTTCCGTTAATTTTTGAACATGATGGATACCCTAATTCTCCTTAACGTCTCATCTGCACTTGTATGTCCTGCATTAAAAGAGCAAATTTGAGTTTCAAAACTTGAAGGTAATTGTTTGTTCATTTGTAGGTTAAAAATGAAATATATAGAGAGCAGAGGAAGCCCTTAACATGTGATAATTTAAGCATAGCTCTAAAACTTAAATTTGTCCACTATTTTGATAGTGAATTTTTTATTCTGTTTTCCTCTCTCTGTTTCCTCAGCTCCCCAAATATCTCTACATTATGCTAATTCCTTTTTTAATATTTTCTCTCTAGAGATTTACTTATCTGGCTAAAGCGAGTATAGGTTGTACTTTACATAACAAATAACATCAGTAAATCTTCCTGAATAAATTGGACTAATTGGCTGAATTACTAATAGAAAGTTGGATTATTTCAAATCTGATAGAGATATGATGTTTTACCTTAGCCTTCGATCTTGAGTTCTTATTTGCCATTTTTATTATCACGATCGCAACATGAAGAAACAGATATTGGTTCTTTATTTTCTTACTTTATAATGACTCATTTAGTAAATGTGGGCAATAATTAGGGAAATGAAGAAGCTAGCAATTTGTATCTACCTAGTCATGTAGCAAATATGCCTTGAAAGTGTTTCTACGTTGACCGTTAAATGTGTATAGTGAATGCTTGGGAACTAAACATTTTCTATGGTTGATGAAGCATATAAAGATAAGTTTACACCAATAGACATTTCCATGAATGTTCACTTATTTATAGTATTAATCTTACATTTCACCTCAGTTTCTTGAGCAAAGATGAGCCATGAGAGCAGCAACTGTGTTGCCTGTCATCTCAACAAAACAAATTGTTAAATTCAAGGACGATCAAAGCAATAATCAAAAGCAAAACAACAAAGCGTACAAAGTCTTGCTAGTGAACCTAAACCACAAAATGCAATAAAGTATATCATTCTTTCCATAAATGATAAAATACTTTTTAAAGAATGTGTGCAATTGGAAGAGAAATATTTGCCAGCTAAACCAAATCCAAAAAACACAATACACTGAGATTTTACAGCACAATAAACCACAGATAGATCGTAGAGGAAAAATCAATGTGAACAAAGAAATTTACATGTGGGTTCATTAAAAGAATTTGTTACATGCGAGACAATGAGAGTGCTTAAAGAATTTAGTACACATCTACTTTAACAATATATGAACCTATTGAAAAATCAAACAATTAAATCTATGATAAATATGCAACAACATTGAAATCAAAGAGAAACAATGATCTCATTGAAATCCAATTTCCCAACATAAATGACATGAAAAAGAAGAATAAAAAAGTATTAAGAACGAAAAATTATGTTGTGCACCAAATGCAAGCCAATGTATAAAATAAAGTCATAATATAATTGCAAAGCAACCAACAAGAAATTCAAGAAACATATCCTACGTTTCTAGTAGCAATGGATTTAAAAAAGAACTCAAAAACCAATAAAGCTAATGGGGGACATGCATAGTCGAAGTGAATGGCCAACTTGATCAGAGGATTGATGTATGCCCTTTGAAAGCGTGCAACTGCCATAACAAGCGAAACCCCTTTTTCTGTTCATGATCGAGACACTTCAAATAAATTAGAATCGACATGGTACCATAAATTTGAAAGCTAAGTAAATGAACGACAAAAGGAATACCTCTTCTTAAGGAGGCTTAGACTGTAGCCAAATGATACTACCCATGTCATAAAGAATTGTGATGGTGAGAAAATGTTCACTCTCGCAATGAAGTAGAATCTAGGGTTCTATTGTTCATCTTTGAAAGTAGAATACAAATTTGATTACCAGTGACGAACTAACAAGTGGTGATAAATAGTTATATTCCCAAAAGGTAGATAGCTAAAAAAATTGTACTCAGAGGTGTATGTCTAATAGCAAGGATCTATCCCACGCAACATATAAATTCACTTTTAGGTTGAAAGTAAGCTAAACCCAACTTTTTATTTATTCCAAACCAGCCTCCTACAAAACTAGGAAAAAAAAAACTGAAAACCTAAATTTATCTCTCAAATGTCACATTCCCTAGTTAGCTGATTGAATAAAAATAAATACTTAACAAAATAATAGATACTATAACAGAGGAAAAATTATCTCCCACGTGCAACGGTAGGGCAACAAAATAAAGACAACTACCTTATAGGTGTCAGACATAAGAGGCTTCCTTGCTCGATGATCTCCCCAATGTAAATAGAAACAAGAGGCATGCACAAACACCTAGCCAGCATACCCACTTCTAATAGCCAAAAGTGTTATTTCATTATCACAGTAGGTAGATGTCTGCTGAGTTGATAAAGGAAACGAAAGGACATTATGTACATAGCCTTTTCCATGTATAACTAAAGCACAAATATCATTATATAGGAAATTAAAATTATCCCAAATCAAATATATCTTTCCTTGCCAACGAAGTTGTGAATTGTAACAAACTAAAATATATTTCGAGAAGTATTTATTTGTCACAACAAAATGAATCATTAGACTAAGAACTTAAGGAAGTGTAATCAATGCTACATAATGGAAGCTCATTGTCCTGTTTTGGTGGCTTCTTCTTTTGCAATAAAAATTGCTGAAGATAGCCTGTTTGATGAAAGGATGAGGTTCGTCAACATTGTTATTTATTATCTCAAAAGCAAATCAATAATAATAGAAACAGAAGCATAATCAAAAGTGATTCTCTATTATAGACATAAAATACCCACCTCGCTCAAACATTTCTAATTCCATCGAGGATAATTTATTTATTTATTTTTTTTATCATCTTTGTCCTCTTTATACAATTAATCCCCAATAAAGATTGAGTTCTTATAGTATAATAAAACTCCTAGCTATAGTGGACTTCGTCAAATACCAAATATCCATGCCACGCCTTTCTTTAAATAATTTGTCAATATAGTTCATCCAATTTCTCTGAGATCTCATTACTAAGGAATAAAACTCCTTGTTTTTCATCTTTAAAATATACTAATCTTGGTTTGATGCAAATTATAACAATCTTCTCAATCTATTATTAAATTAACCAGATACAATTAGGTATGAAAAATATAAGTAAATGAAAATAACTTTTGATGCAAATCAGGATTGGACTTAATGAACTCACTTCTGTAGGCATTCATCATAAAATCCGTGGACTTGTGTATTCTGTGGACAAAACAAAGATTCGGTCCAGGATTAACCACAAAGAATTATAGAACATAAGGACTATTTTCAGCTTTTTAAGAAAATAAATAACAAAATTGTCGTCATAAAATAAAGACCTACCTAATAACAAAGGCAATGAAATAAACAAGAGGAGAATGAAATAGTTTAATTCTAGAACCAAATACATTTCTTGGATTGATTTTTGCCACCGAACAAACAATTCTTCAAAGTCATACGATAGCAAATTGAATTCTAAGTTCATGGCATAAAATGCAAGAAATGATCTTAAACCTTAAAATTAAATTTCTCTAGTCGATGTGCCTTATATCATATGGCAATCACCAAGATGTCATGGTTTCTTGCTCATCCTATTCTTATGTTTTTATTATGTTAAGTAAAAAAATAAAAACGCTCTGGAAAACTATCCAATTTTTGATAAATCTCCTTCTGTAGATGACTAATACTTCCACATGCCCTTTGCTTAAATAATAATGAAATCTATGTATGTGCTTCATCCTCAACGTGTGCAACCAATTTGCTTCACCAATTCTAAAGCTAATTTTAAATCACTCAGATGCTTGATAGATTTGGAAATTTAACATAAAAGATAACAATGCGTGAATATCAATAGATACATAGATGTCAAGCCATACAAATTCCGTAAATTCAAATTTTAGGACAAATGTCAAAGCTAACCACAAGAAAATTTTAAAATCCAACAATATGATTTTACCTGTCATCCCAATTTAAAGATGTATGACTTCAACAATTTTAATCTCCCTCAAATTCTTGATTGATTAACAGATATTAGATTTAAAACCCTAGAAGCACGTCCAAAAAGTACATAACTATTTAGAAAAGTAAATACGAAAAGAACATAACAAGAATTTCTAACATAAACCTAGATATACATTTTTACCTATTTGAAGGACTTGCCCAGAACACCATTGTAACGCATGTATGTAAATTACACACCAATTTCCTATTTTCAAGTCTTCCATGAAATCAGAGCAAGAAATACAGAACAGCGTCAATGTAAAAGCATGAAGCTCAAATTTGAGCTCTTTACATAAGAAGCTAAGAAATCTCCAGTAGCATAAATATTTGAAGATTTTATACACAAAAGCACAAAGCATCAACTGAAACAAAAACTTATTTCAAAACCCTTTCCCGACAAAGATCTCGTTGCTACAGTCTTCAATTCCACGATATAAGTAATATAATTGAAACCCATACACATAAAACAAGGTTACCCTAGATGAAAGCAAATATAAAATTTTACCAGGGCCCAATTTATGTACTACTTCAGAGGTGTTTTCTCCTTTCACAAAAAAGGATCACAATTAGTTAGCGACTAACTAGATGCTTGATGGACATAGTCAAATTAATTAGGCTACAGCGTAGGAAAAGAATCTCCATGATGATCCAGTTTGACACAAAAAATAGCATGTGTTCCACAACTTTGACAAGATAGATCCAACTCGAGTCCGACTGGAGCATTTTGAATAGGAAATGGCATAGCCAAGTAATAAACTTGTTGCAAGACAATTATAGATATTATTTTTAGTTACCAAGAATTTATTAATTATAAGTGCATTTTTGTAAGCCGTACTCAACAATATAATGAACAAGAGTTTAGATATATGCCAAAATGGTCATAGTTTGGAACTTGGAAGTAAAGGCGGTATGGTGGCAAATGCACCGAAGCTGTTGTAGCCCAATTGGAAGTAAGGATTCCCTATTTCCACAGCTATGTACACAACAAGCAATAAGCTTTTCACGGTCAATCTTCTAGTACTAGCATTTTAGAATCCTAGGGATCAACAATACATGTCCATATTTAATAGGACTGCCTTGTTAAATTATACACACCAACGGTTAAATCCATTGCTCCAAATTTCACCAAAAAATCATAAGAACAACAAGCAAAAGGGAAACTTGTATTGATAGCAATGACACTAAGTGAATTATCGACATCACTGGGTGAGATCGGCAAGAACTTGACTTCATCATTTTATGCAAATTGCAAGAGCACCTCCTCTTTCCCATCCTTCTTAAAGTAGAACTTGTTCTCATCAAATGCTACAATATCTGATCAAATTGAAACTCGGTAGGCATATTCTTAAGGTGCATGTCCTCATTCAATTGTGCAATAAAGCCACATTTCCCGATATATGAAATAGTATAGCACTAGAGAATTCTTCATATTCTCTTGATTCCACCAAAACTATAGTTAAGGCCAAGAATTGAAACATGGTACAAATTATTAAGAAACAAAAGGGGTATGACAAAAACCTTGTTTCACAAGCAGTGCAATCGTAGCAAAGGAAGGCTTTCTACATACAATCCTCTCACTATCATCAAACAGTAGTAATTTCAGAGAACTACAGGGATCTAGATTTAGCCATAGTTAATCAATCAAAAATTCACCAAACAAAAATACAAACTAAACTTAAAGTGCAATTAATTATGGTACATAAGAGCAACCGATGACTAATATTCCAAATGTAGCTAAAATGAAGAACTAATAACGCCTAAATAGAAATAGATAAATGCAAACTGAAGCTCCAAAATTTAGCTAATGCATATTGTTAGGATCTTCCTCTAGCTGTTCAAGATGATTTCCGGGCTCAGTTAACCTTTAAAACACCGAATCAACACCAAAATCGAAGGTACCCGCCGCCAACCGCGAGTTCTACCTATGGTTGCCTTTCTTCCTTCTGCTTGTTGTTTGCTCACTCACAAAGAATGAATACCACACAGGTAAGGGTCACAAAGACATAAGCAAGAGGTAGACAAGATCAAGGAGTAGAATGCACGAAGAAGAAGAAGAAGAAGAAGACAGCCTCTCTCTCTCGGGTTCTTTCTCAAAAACGGGACATTAGAAGGCTACGAGAATTATCAATATATATAGTAAACCAATGACAAACAATAAGGTAAGTTATACATATGGTAAGTGGGCTCGACTAGGGTTATGGCCCAATAGCACACCAACAAGCCACAAAGGTTTATTAGCCATCCAATAGGTAAAATAACGTTAAGTCGGGTCATCCCATTATTCGGTGTTGATTTATTGTTCAGTCATTCATGTCGACTGATAAAACTGGTTTACATCATCGCCCGGGAGGTCGTTTGACAACATGATGTCTAACA